TGTGTGTGTGTGTGTGTGTGTGTGTGTGTGCATAGACTGTGGGCACACCATCACTGTCTTAAATTCTGCTGTCTGTGTGGCAGCAACATGCAGACTGTGTGTTTATACATCTGCCTCCTCACAGAGAAAAAGTTGAATACTTTGATTCTATGATTCACAGGATTAATCATCCATACCAGCCCAAAAAGTACCCTTCAGTACAAACGTGAGTAATCTTCCAACTCTGTGTCATCTAATTATGCAAACATGTATTCAAATGTCCATCCTGTATGATTTACTCCTTGTTCTCAGTGCTATGCAGGGCAATGTTAAAATACTTACCTTTACTCTCCTCTCACCTCATTGTATGTCACCTTTTCACATCTCTATTTATCTGCTTGAACTTTACTGTGTGAAATGACTTTGAATTAATTTTCACTGCACATTTGCCGTTGCATTTTTCAGTTTTAGTAAGCATATGGACTTGTGGAGTTATCCCAAACAAACCGCAGCAAGGGATGATTGTAAGTTTGGTTCCTTAGAATAAGTCATTTAGTTGAGACAGAGCTCTAATCTATGCCATAAAACTCATTGGATGGCTGAAGTTAAGAGGTTGTGTTTTGTATCCGTATCAAACCTGTAATTTTTGGGCAAAGAATGGGCTGTAATGATGGAGCCGAGAAAGAACGCTGCAAATCTTATTTCAGCTTCTGGCAGGTTTCGTTTCTGTGGCTCAGTGACTTGATTCAGTTCTTTCCCTACGCATTGTGGTATATCTTGAAAACATATCATCGCCAAAGCTTTATTTATTTATTTATTTATTTATGTTTGTCTCACTGTATCTGTGATTATAAGAAATGCGTAAGATGACTGCACTCCTCGGGTTATTACTAACATCACAAGCCAAGCTCGCCTTCACATTCATCACTTTTGCAGTTATTAAGATGAAGGATGCTGCAAACAGGCTCCTTTAAGGTAATTCAACGGTAAGTTATGACGGTGGGAAGAAGGGAGGTCATTTAAAGCAAATTTCCACATTTGACGTATGCTGTACTTTAATAGGAGTTTAATCATGATAAAATATGCTATGACTTTTTCCTCCCCAGAGACCGAGCCATCACCGGTTTTATGAAGTATGGCACTGAGCCTGATCAAGCAGTTCAGCTAAGCCATTCCCTTGTAATGGCCGTGCGAGTAAACAAACTTGACTCAGCAAAAATGCAGAGCAGTAATGAAATGAGCAGCGAGATTAACTGTGATTTTGAATATTGAATATATAGCTCTCCTACTTTTAATTCAAAATGCATAAACTAGTCCGAGCCATGGAGGGAGGAATGTTTTCGGGTCAGTTAAAAGTTTAAATGAAAAAGTTAAATGAAAAACACCGAGTAGATTTTTTCCTCAACAAGACCACATCTTACTTGTGCACTTTTTGAGTCCGGAGCCTTTCTTCACTGCATGACGGCTGAGTTTGCAGCTGAAGTTGTTCTCCCAGAACTCCGCAAACCAGATATTCCTTCTGTTGTTTTCCAGCGTTCGGCTGATGAAGTAACGATCAAACCCTGAGCAGATCAATGGGTTCACTGTCACTCGCACATCCGGGGTAAACAAAAAGAGTGAGAACAAACTAACCAGCCGAGATTTCAGAGTTTTAAGACATTTGAAATAGCATTGTTGATGTTTTACAATGACCCCTCTTGGTACCTCTGATGGACTGGCGTTTAGGCAGGATGGTCACGGCTCCCTCGGCCATCTCCTCCTGCTGCACCACTGGAGAGATCTTTGAGCCCCAGCTGTCTGAACCCACCCAGATGAAATGTCCCGTCTGGTTGGCCTTTTTTGCCGCGTGGAGAAGCCGCCTGCAAAAAAAGCGAGGAAACAGATGTCGCTACGGATAAGGTCGGCATCCCAACCGGCTCCGCTTTGATTGTGTTTTTGCGACCCATTACACAGCGGATCGGCAGAGATGCTCTGCCTTTCCACATGTGTCCGTGTCTTTCTTATCCTCAAAGAACTGTTACAGCATGTAGCTTATAACCAGGCTTTACCTGATATCATCTTCGTTGGCGAAAAGTATGACGACCCTCGCATTGGGATTCTCCCTGAGTCTTCGGATGACCTTGTCGAACTCGCCCTGTTTTGGCTCCCGGGGAATCTTGACTGACTGTGAAATGCACACGCCACCTAAAACAAGGAATTTTAGAGATGTTTTAGATGCACTGCAACGTGTCACAAAAATCGCAGAAAGTTACAAAAAACTGCCGTTAGAAAGTAGACTTTTGTCCCACCAATAGCATGTTGGTTTAAGATTCATCCCATAAAAGTTTTTTATGGATAATAAAGTGTACATTTTGTCCCAGCTAAATACCCTTCCTAAACTTTCATGAACTCCTTTTGTGTGTGAACTCTGTTTGGCCCCTTCACATTTTTTTATTGATGCAGAAATCATGTGTACTTACAAAAAAGAGACTAACTGCACTTTATGTATTTTAGGGATTGCTCACTCGTTGTATAGGTGTTTCCAGCAGTAAGGCACATAAAAAATAATCCCTCTGGATGCTTAGAAGGGTTATCAACCTAAACCATTCCCGGGATTATGAAATACATGTTTGAACGCTCAGTGTCTGAGCTTTATGGTGAGGATATGTAATTTTTTCACCTTTTAGCTTAGCATCAGCTATTGACTTTGTAATGAAGTCATTCACTTTATGGAAAATTAACACCATTGCCTTTTTTAACTTTGCAGCATCATCAACACTGAGTAATGCTTTTGCTGTGTTCAAAGTAACATTGTTGGCATGTCTTCAAACAAAGACACAAGTTTCAAAGTAAAGATTTCAAAGGCATGATTATTTACAACATGTTTAAATTGAGCATTTAACAGCAAAGTAAGAAATAGCTGGAATTATAAAGTTTGACCTGCAAGTATTGTTTAGCAGTATGAGGGGTTGCAGACCTCTCACAAACAGGGAGAATTGAAAAGAATGGGCCATTGCTCTCTCATCACCCCTCTAAAAAGCATCCTCTCATGGGGATGTATTAATCACAGAGAAGCGCCTGCATTCTGAAACCGCCAAGCACTTTTACCAAAGATTGTTCCATACATGTCAGTAAGACCTGAGACAGTGTGACGGGGTTGTAAAAAAAAAAAAAAAACCCATAGCCTGCAACCTACACACACTGCTGGCTGTACATCCCACTCATCTCCATGAGCCTGTATAAGCGTGACGCATTGATCCAATGCAGATAAAGTCAAAGCAGCACGACATGTTTCCTCACAACACGCACGTGCGCAAAGGGGGGATCTGAATTAAAGCGCAGCATCTACTGCCAGCTAGATTTATACTGTCATTTTGCAATGAAAGAAACACAACACAAACGATAACAAACACTTGACTTTCTTTCAAATCAGGGCAAAAAGAGGTTGTTTTGATGGGTTTTGCGTTATGGAGGCGCTCTCCCCGCCAGTCTTTCTCCAAATGCATTTCGTGTGAGAGCGCATCGACTTGACGTAACTGAGAGTCTCCTGCAGCTCTCACAGCAGCGGGGGAGCTGTTCCAAACATGTCTTTGTGCATACTGTACTTTGTTTATTCTGTATATACGCTGGATGCTATCCAGTACCCGTCATGACAGTAGATACAGACCTAGTTATTTATAGTATTACAGAATCGTTAACAGGATATAGCCAATATGTGTGTAAGAGTGTGGGAGTTGGTCTAATTAATCACGTATGCCTCACACTTGGCTGAGTTGTGTATTTATGCACAATCTACACGCGATCCATAAATCTGGAATCACATGGAAAATAGAATGGATAAAGATTGCTGTCTCGTTTGTGCCACTTGTGAAGCTTTAGTTTAAACTGCTGTCATTCTGCGGTCTTCTGCTCTGGTGCCCAGCTCAATGAAGGGGCATCAAAATCTGCCCTGATATATCTCTGACAGTTCTGAGGTCTGAGATGGACTCCAGTGGAACTGTGCGCGAAAAAAAGAAAATGACACAGCTGTCACTGAACCTTGTTAAATTCAAGCAGATCAGACAGTCTTCAAACACAAAATCCAGTAGAGGATTCCATAAGCGGTAGTAGCGAATAACATTTAGGATTAATTTTAACGATGCCACAAAGGGATGAAATTCAAGATGTCTTGTATTAGCACGTTATGATAAATTCAATGCTTCGTGGTCAAGAGAGTGAATTGCGTTGTTTGTTTCTAAAAGTAAAACTCTTCTACGGTGAGCACAAAGCAGCTTCAGATGCATCTTGTATTGTATTTTATCATTTTCTACTTTCCTATAACAAGTCTGATATGCTTTCATAATGTTCTCTACTGTTCCTTTGTTGTTGTGATAACAGCATAGGGGAGGGTGTACGCTTTGTTAAAGCAGCAGGAGAAAAATTTGGCTTCTCTTATAGTTGTGGAATGTGTGAGCCCCTCACATGCACAGCCAGTCAATTCTTGAGCTGTGCAATGTAACAAATGGAGATGATTCCTGAAAGAAAATCTGCTGCAATATTCACTCTAAAGTTCCAAAGATTGTTACAGCCCATCTTAGTGTGTTTATTCTACATCTAAAGCTAAATTAGTAAATGTTTTGAATTTGGTACATTTAAGAGTTACATCAGCATTTATTGTTGCCATTCTTCCTGAATAAAACTTAGTAGATAACATATAGATACACCACTGCTCTTAATCCCAACATTTCTTTGATCAATTCCTCCTCTAACTTGGCAGAACAGCTTCACATGACTACAACATCTGACCCCTTTGAATCATTCAGCTCATCTTTAATCTGGGCATCAGTTCACAGGATGTCCTCATGTGGACCTCTCCTCTAAATATCACACTTTATGTGTCTTGATGCTTCAGATCATCCTCTTAGTTTGTGTTATTCTGCTGCAAGGAGCGTTTCTGCACTGCAACAACTCGTCACTTCAGCCTTGTGCCTCTGATGACCCACTTGTCCCGTTGATTCAAACAGGCTCCATTATAGCCCATTTTGGATGTTTACTTAAGTGGTTTAGATAAGTGAGAGGCATTCAAAGCCAGCATCTCTCCACAGTTTCTCGCATCCCGCAACAGATGACTGTTGAGGTGTTATCTTAACCACGTCTGCACAAGAATGAATGGAAACTAATAGTGACAAATGGTTGCCGCAGTGTCAGGCCAGCCCCAGTCACGCTTTCCGTCTTTGTCACAGTAGATGAGCCGTCTTATCTCTACCCCTCTCTGTTTTTCCGCGTACAGTAATATGCCTTCAAGACAAACACAGACATCCACCGCAAACCCAACGGAAGATCAAAACAAATGTATAAATGAGATGTCATCAACAAACAGAGAATGCGAGTGTTGTTTTCTTCTGTGTGAAGTGTGTCAACACTGGATCTAAGCTTCAGATTTCAGCATGAGTGGACAGCGATTCACGGATGAATGAATAAATAGCAAGACTTAGACTAAAGTGAATGAAATCATACGAAACTGTCAACATGTGAGATGATGTATGAATTTAATGACATGCATTAATCAGAAGAATCTAAATCTGAGTAAAACATTTTACTATTGACTGATACTGAATTTACAGCAAGTGGACACTTCAGAGTTTCTGTTTTTTGACCAAGTAAAGTGCGTTTTCTTTTCTTTATTTGAGATTCCAGCATTTATCCACTTTACCAAATGCTAAAAGAAGCCCAAACCAAAGCTTCTGATCCAATGATACCATTCAACTCGAACTTCTAAATATTACCCATCTGAAATGACTTCAGGTTTTATTACTTGTGTATCCAAGTTACAGAGAGTGACGTTGCTGTTTCACAGCAATGAAAAAAAAAAAAAACTTTATTGCCTTGGCGACACAAAATTAATTTAAAGAAAAAATACATACAGAGCTTCCAGAAGGAACTAATTAAATGAGATGTGCGGCTGCCGTTTGTACACTGGTCATATGCTGAAACAACACTTAACATAATGAGCTATATTTTGCTGATGAATGGCCAAACTGTCCTTCGGTTTTTAATTGTCCCCCCAGAAAATTCTGCCGGGTTATGTTATGTAGCCAAGTCTGAAGTTTTCTTTGCTGTTTTTCCAATGTTTCCTTTTGAATCCTTTTACTATCAGGCTGAGTTTCAGTGGCTGAAAATTTGTTTCTGCAGCCTGAATGTTGCATTGCATTGTACTACATTTAGGACAACAGGTTGGATCCCATTTTTTTACTATAGAATAGCATGTAAGAGTAATTGTCGTTTTGTTCCTGTAAACTCAGAGCAACTCATTTATATTTAAATAAGAAGTTCTTACAGTAGCCCAGAAGGGAAGAAACAAACAGTTCAAAGCCTGTTTTTTCTCAAACTTGTAGGTGTTAACGTGCTTGTTGAATGGCACAATTTATGCCTAACTACAACCAACTACATCCAACAACCTTTAAAATGCTTTAGAATTTGGGTGCTGAAAAATAAAAATGGTTGAGAGGACCAACACACACGTAAAGCTGACCTGGACAGAGTCCTGGGCTGCAGCATGCCTTTCTTTTTGTCCACTTTCTTGTCTCAAGATTTCCAAGTAAAGGTCAATAGAGGAAAAATACAGAAAGAAAGATGTACACCATTTCTGCAGGCTTGCGCTTTTTTGTGCAGTTCTATTAAATTCAAAGTTCCATTGTCCTTCATTATTTTGCTTTTTCAGCTCAGAACTTTTTTTTTTTATTTGGGATGTTATGAGCAAAAACACATGAAAACACCATCTGCCTGATGTCAGCTCTGGGCCAACCCAATGGAAAGAAAGTGATTAAACCTCCACATTGCATTTAGTCCAATTTGCTCATCAACTTTAGAAAGCACAATTGGAACTGTTTAGCTGTCTAAACTGACACTCTAAAGGGAGTTTCAGGAAATGGAAAAGACTGAAATCACATAAGAAAATGTTGTTTGCTGCATATGGTGGGTTATAAAAGCTAAAATGCTCTATGTTGAAAATACACTTTCTCAAAATAATAATGAAAACAGTTCAAATTGTGATGAATGTAAACAGTGAAGCTGTAATGACACTGGAGTTCCTTCACTACAGACCCTTGTGAGGAAATTGAATTTTGAAGCAGTGAGACAGAATTCCTGTTATTATGATTTAATGATTTACATTAGGTAGACAGTTTTTTTACAGCAATAAGCCTAATTTTTGTGCTTTTTTTTCAAGAATCTTATTTCAAAAGATTATAGACAGCTAGA